GAACGTCGACAGGGTAAAAATTAGGAAAAAATAAACTAAAATAACACGAAAAAAATTATGCAATGATTAGCTATTGCACGTTATTGCCTCACACGCATTTCAACGCCTCTACGGTTCTGAATGGAAGTCACAAGCAAGGCCCATTCTCGAAACAAGTTTGATTGAAGCCTATGGTGTTATCGTTAGTTTTTTTGGAATGGTTTTGATGTTTTAGTCACTGCGGATCATTTTCGAAACATTTTCTGGAATGCCAAGTACAGACCCATCAGACTGTACTAAATCAGATTCTAATGTAACCCTATTCGATGGTGCCAGCGACAATGCCCCGATTTTCGCAACATTCTGCGGTGATGGAAGCGGTCCGAAGGTGGGCTACTAGTGATTTTGAAGTTGTGATTTTGGAAGTGAGTAGTTTCCAGGTGCCTTTGCTGGGAGAACCGATCACAATGACGTCGTCGAGTGCGATGCTACGATTCAGAGGCAGTAGTGGAGCATTTTCGATTAAGTGGGAGACCAAAAAGAGAGGTACCTGAGGAAAATCCTTAGAACGAAATTCTCAAGATTCCTTAATGTAATTTATTTAAATGATTTATAAACAGAGTGTGGCTACCGTACCAATCTGGCTTCTGGAATACTCGCAGTTCCTCCCCATCACATGAACATTTCTTGTGATTGGTTTATTTCGGCTCCGATGGACAAGCATATCGAAATTGAGATTCCTACGGTAGAAATGACAAGCGGCCTGCAGATGAACTGCAGCATCAACCAGTTGGCGGTTCGTTCTAATTTCTTCTTCACTTTTGAAGAGTTTGTTTTCCAAAAACAAACTTATAATAGGGCACCCTGAACTTCTGGTTATTCAATTCAGTTGAATTCTCCTTTCTCTTCATGACCGTTGTCTTTCAAATGAGAAAAAAATTTGGGAGTCTCTCAAGAAATGATAGTGGTGGACCGCTACCGTCTCTTTACATGTGGGAAGGGTAGGGTGGGGCTCATGGATTACTGCAACTCTTCTCATCGACCAGTTATCGAGTTAGGCGCGAGGGATTCAGGGAATGAAAAATTCTGGAGGAGGAGTGGCGCAGTGCCAAGTGGTGCACCATCACATGCATGATCGGGGATCGACGCCGAACTGATGCCCGTTTAGACCAAGCGAGTCTTGAATACTTCCGAATTTTGCTTATTGGAAGCGCACTCGTCTGAGATTAGGAAAGCATTGCCCTTCAGTTACACATTCGGGATCCCCCACGAATCTTGAGGGGGTAGAATGCGTGGCTCATCCCACAATCTGAATCGTTCGAATATAAAAGACTTCATAGTATAAATGCTCCAGGATCGATAAAAATAGTCTCAAAGTGGTGCCCAATTCGTTTGAGATTTGTTCCCCCATTCCTCCCCCTCATGCCTAAAAGGTCAGATGAAA